GGACTTACAAAGTTAACAGAGACTACTTAAATAAGAATATATATAAAGGTCTTTAGCCCCCAGGTTGTCTTCAGCACGGCCAGACAAAAAGCCATTTTGGAAAAATCTGCTACTTTTGGTAATAGTCATAGGTGAGAAAGCCAAGCTATAATTTCTATAACAAGTAATGAACGAATACAGTAAGTTCTGGGCTGAACTGAACCTTCAAGCACCCACCAAGTGCTAGCCCTGAAAGGCGCAGCTGACATGACAAGTACAGCCTGCTCCTTTCATTTTCAGCTTCTACGTCAGCACTTCTGCACAACTCCCATAGAGAAAAAGCACAAACCATGCCAGATTTCTTCAGTAAACACAACCCACTTCTGCAAAAGATATTAAGCAACTCTTGACAGGCAAGTGGACATCGTAAACAAGAGAGAGCATTTAAGGACAAGTCAGAACACATGCAGCAACATTAGCATGACTCCTCAGTCGCTAATAAAAGACATTAACAACCCACTGCAAAACTAAGCATGTAAATTCACTGGATATATGTAGCATTTTTTTCCAAAGAACTGGCAATCACCTATAGAACTGAGAGCTGTGTTAATAGGTTGGATATCTCTGCTTTGTTTAACACGCATGCTTAGTTGATTGAAAAACCAGAAAGCAACTGCAACAGTTCAAAAATCATGATGGCTTTTATTTTTAAACTGGGATAATCTTGTGATCATGTGTCCTCTTGATTGGAGCATCAATTTCAGCAGCAGAGCACTGGCCCAGACTGACTGATTTACCTGGAGCCAGTGAGTCTCCAGTGAAATGGTTCTGCTCCATTTCCCCCAAGCTCTCACAACTTCTTCCAAATGGATTATTTTTGAAGGAAGACTACAAAAAACACAATCAATCAAAAGGAACCTACAGCCTGGCTTCCCGAATTGGAAAAGCAATTAATGTTCTAACATTACTTTTTCCAGAAGCCATATTCTGGAAAAACCGTAACCCCGTATGAAAGACAGATGCATTGCAGACTGCCGTATCTTGGCATATACTCCTGCTGCTGACAGAAAGAGCAGCTGTCCCCATCTCCTCCACACAAATATTCACGTAGCGGCCCACAGCAAGCTGGGTCAATTCCCTGAGCTGACTCCTCACGTGGCCATCTGTGTAGCAGTGCCAAGGATGGAGCAGGAATAAGACGCACAGTCAGGGGCAGTCCGGGACTCTCACTGCATTAGAGAGGTCAGGGCAGTCCACGGAAAATAACCAAAGGTAAGCCCGGGCTCAAACCTGAAGCAAACTGCAGGAACAGGAGTGCTTTTGGAGATGCAGCTAAAGGTTGCACAGCCCCCAACTGGCTTTAATTACCGATTTTTTTTTTTTTTTTAAAGCTAGCCAGCTTTTAGGCACACACAGGCCTCTCCAATCACACAGTGAACTCTCTCGTCCTGCTCCACTCCACCTCTCCAGCATCATCCTTTCCCTCCTACTGTCATCCTTCCTCTATCTGTTCCTGTGATGCTACATTTTCTACCTACCTTCCCTTTCCACTGGATGACCCTGACTACCCATCCATTCTCCGAAGCACCACTTTTTTAAACTATTTTTCATTACAAAGAAAAAGTGATTAAAGGAGAAGCTATAGGACAAACAAGGAGACCCACCCCCCCAAGATCGATAGCCCCACAGAATGGCCATGCAGTCAGGTTGGGCTGAGCTCTGCCCATGCTTCAGACAGGCCATGGCTGAGTTCTCAAATGCTGCCTCCAAGCTTGGTAGCATCACTCCAGGGGCTGCACTGGCAAACCCATGTCAGACCATGGAGTTCGGGAAGAGCCTAGGGCCCTGCTTGCACCATATCTGTAGTGTATTCTCTGACCCTTTTTCAGGCTGCAATTTTTCCAGGCAAAGACTATGTTTCCACTGTCCCTGGTATGTTCTGGTTCAGTGCCCTACAAGAAAAAGGAACATTGCCAGTGACCTACTTCATTGCAAACAACCTTTATTAGCTGCCTTTCAAATACTAATCCAAACAATTTAAGGCTTCCCCCACACACACACCTGAGCGCTGACAAGTAAGAACTTTTGCTGGCAACTTTTCTTAATCCAGAGGAAGTAGTAAGCTTACTGCTGCAGCATTGTGCTATCAGCGATACAGATGAGAAATGCCATACACAATGATTTTTTTGCATTATTCTGTTCTGGTATGGGGTAAAAAGAAGGAAGCATACTGAAAAGTTCACTTTCTCAGTCTATCACTGCTGAAACACTTGAACTCTATGACGATACGCTAAAAGTATGCATGTTTCTTCCAAGAGCAGAACCCTCACTCCTGCACAAATCATAAAACCACTCATTTATACATAAATTAGACACTTAGTAGGATTCCCACAGGACTGCTGTTTTCTTGCCTAGGGATGCCTGCTTTCATAAGGCCATGTTGTCATGGCTAATGGGTGCTATCTTCTGCTATTACAAGTGATGGAGTCTCTAGGCTAATACAACCTATTGCAAATGACTCAGGCAGTCGGAATACCTCCATATCCATTTCCGACTCCTGAGGCTAAGATGGTATGGTGTTTCAGTCAGTCTCAGTCCAGTTCATGTGACAGATGTCAGACACAGTCTGTGCTGTCAGTCTGCTTCTTTGATAAGGAAGCTGCTTCATTCCCAGAGACCTAACAGCTTGTTGGAATTGCTTTTGAATCACTAAGGAAGAGCTCCACCCCTAATAAAAATCTTTCAAGTTTGATGAGAAGACCCATCATCCATCCTGCCCAAGGCCCAGGACACATTCTCCTGGTCACACTGGGTGGTGCAAGCTATAGCCACCCCCCCGGTCTCCTAATTTATCTCAAGTCACAGCAGCAGTTTACAACTTCTCATGAGAAAACAAACAAGCAAAGGAGCTTCCTTTCCCAAGATATGTTGGACAGAACTTGCTTGTCCAAGAATACCTGACACTGGCAGACTGTTTTTAAAATTGTCCTACTGCCTCTTCTGCCACACTGACCAAGCTCACCAGCTTAGAAAGCCAAAGCTGCACCAAAAAAAAAAAAAAAAAAGAGTTTAATTTGAGTCCGATGTGGTACTTGGTTACTTCACTACCAGGAGCAAACGGTAATAAACCATTTTACAGCACGCATCCCACAGTTATTGTCAAGCAGTTTCAGTTGCGAGGTGTCTCTAACATAAGCGATGAAGGAGAGGGTTCTTGGGCCTGTTCTGCTCTCCTCAGCACACCTGGAGTCCCTGCTGACCCCAGGGGGTGTTGAAGACAGCAGAGAGGCAGGATCTAGCCTCTCAGCAAACCCTGGTACTGAGCTTCAGCTACAAATTCCACACATGCACCACGACTTTCCCAATGCTGTCATTTGCGCTTCGAGCTGCCTATCTTCATTTCCACATACGTCACTGCCGCTGTGCCTCAGACCCATCTTAGGACTGCTGAGTGGTCACATAATTCTTCTGTGCATCCCATTCATCACAGCAATCAAGTCCAGTTGCCCCAAAACAAACTAAGTGGTCTTGGAGCAACTAAGCTGCCCTACACACATTGCAGGACCTGCCTCACAGCTCCCAGAATTTCTTCATACCTGCGACACAGGGCTTGTGAAATCTGAGTGGACAAATGCCTTCTTAGTCTTTCTCACTGTTAGAGGAACTTCCCCATCCTCCTCTCCCACAACAGCGGAAAAGGCTTGCTCAAGACATTCCTCGTAGTGGTGGTCACCACCCTTATGCACAAAAAATAAAGCAAAACCTCAAACCAGATACATTATTCCTCTAATGAAATATGGATCATGGAATGTGGTACAGATCATGGTTTTAAGTAGAGGTTACAGTAGAAGATTTGCATCATTAGTAGCATAAGATGCATGACTTCCCAGTCTGCACAGGAAAACCAAAGCAAGGATTGGCATCTACTGTTTGCAGATTTCATTACAGTTCTGGATGTCCTACAATTAGACCTGAAGACAACTCTACAGGCAAAGGAGTCAATATCAACAGAGCTAGTTTAGTTGATAGATTCTGCTGCTTACCTGTTTAGCATGCAATTCCAAGCTAACTTCTTGGAACTAGGCCAAAGTAAACCACCTAGTGCCAGGGGAAGAAGAGAAGCCAAACTCTATTTTTACACTACTTAAGACTACAAAGCAAACAGAAATGTCATCAGTGACACTTCACCTGCTCAGGTGCCTTTATAAACTATCTATACACATTATTTGCTGATCAGACTTTACTTTCCCCCCACACTATTAAATATAATTACTACAACCTTCAGCCCAGCCAGTATCAATATGTGACAAGAAGGGCCACTGGGCCAGTGCATTTTGATTTCACACTTCTTGCCATATATTCACACTGACTGGGCTGAGGGGTGTAGTTATCAGAATGTGGCAGCTATCCCTTCACCTTCTCAGATACACCATTACTCCTAAGAATCTGCACTACTGTCTGACCTAAAATGCTAATTCTGCAGGAATCAGTCCTCCTTGAAGTGAGGAAACTGCTGTCTCCCAGGAGCTGAACTGAAGCATTCTCATCACACTCATGTCATTGGCACAAGCAAACATTATAATTTTAAAGTAACGGGCTACAGAGGCCACATCCTGAGCTCGTGACTGGAACATACATGAAGAACATAAGGAAAAGTTTAAAAACATTTCTTACTGACTATGGCAATTTGAAACAGTATTTCCTACTGATGCCTGGAGGATTGCTCTGTGGGTTAGTTCAAGTAACTCTCTTCCTCTAAGAACATACTAAACATGAAGAAACACTGTTGTCAAAACATTAGCAGCTGATAGTATCCTCTGAACTTCTCTCCTGTGTCTCATCAACCCACAGTTCACACTGTGTCTGTCAAGCTAGAACAGACTGTAGTTCTGGCAAACTTTGTTTTAAGACAAGGCAGATGCACCAGTATCAGACTGCTTTTACTCGGTCAAATGACACACTCCCTAAATAGATAACGCATTGGCTAAAGAAAGAGCATGTGGAGATGCAGAAGCTGTTACCTGTGAGTGGACAGGGAAAAGTATCCACAGAATGGAAAAGTTCCTCACTGTTTTCAGAGTTGTGTGGAAGCAGGAAGCACTCTGCTAGGTCAGAAACAGAGGGTAGGTCCAATACGCTGCTCTCCTCCGAGTGAGAACTCGGTGACGTCTCTTTTCTTTCCATGGTTGCACTGCTGAGACACAAATGCAACTGAGCTGGGTGTTTAGAGCACAAAAACGCAAGCAGAAGTCAACACAAATAACCTGGCACTGCTTTATAAGCTGAGAGAAGCTGTTCAAGTATATTGGTACCTCATTTAAGAATATACAAATACAAATTTAAAGATGCAAAGGAAACAGCCCTCAGCTCTAAGTAGGATAACTAGGAGTCCACAACAAATCTGGCTTTCCTAGAGGCTTCCCATAAGTACAGATTCAGGCCCCAATACTAGAAAGCTATGGAGTATATTCCCTTTAGGGTATATTATGTGTGCAGTTTAAAAGGAAATATGTTCTTCAAGATCCCTGTCCATTGATGCTTCTAGAAGTCACAAGTTAAACCCAGTCCTCCTGGCTCTGTTCATGAAATTCATCATGCTCACTAGCAGAAGGAAAGAACATCTTAAAACTTGGTAGTCTCAGCCCCGCAGGGATGGCAAGAATTTGCTGGTGTGGAGACCTCAGTGCAGCTGTGTTGTATACGCTGCACAATGCACTTGGGAAAGCTGAAGTTGAAACATCCCCACATCCCAACACTCTTCTCTTGAGCTCCCTGAACCAGTCCACAATCACAGAGGGCAGGAACACACAGCTGGGTGGAGAGCAGGGCAGGACTGGTGTCATCCAGCTCTACACTAAGGGCCACAGTCAATGGGCAATTCTTTTGGACAGGACAAAACCAAAGCATTCCATTCCAGCAGCTCCAACCATAGCTACACAAGTGTCTGGGGTCAGAGAGGAGGGAAAGGCAAAAACTTTGTGGGGCAGGAGCTCACAGAATAACAGAGAGGAGCAAGTAGGAATCTGTGGGCTGAAGCATGATTACCACTGACTCTGTAAGAGGGGCTCTCTGTAGACCTCAAGGAAAGACACTCAAAAGGAAAGACGCAGAAGAGTCCCAAGCACCCTCAGTTTCCACACAATACCTTAGCCACTAGCCTTTGGCCATCCTGCACAACCCCTTGTCAGGCAGCTGACTCTCCACTAACAGTAAAGGCTCTGAGCAGAGCACTGTTGTACCCCAGCACACATCTCCAGCAACACCAAACAGAGCAGGAATTGACCCAGTCCTTACTGCAAGGCCTTATGCCAGGACTTTCACGCAGGAGCTTCACTGAGCACTGATGAGGAGACTGAGTGGGGTACATGTGAGCGGACGTTGTGTTTTTTCCTCTCACTCAACTAACAGATTATGCTTTTCATGGAAAAAAACGTGGACAGAAGAAGAGTGTTTCTCGTGAAATGTGAATTTAGTTCCCAGCTCTTACAGAGACTCCAGGAGATTCTGTGCAAATGTCCTGCTTTCAGCTGAGACAGAGTTCACTTTCTTCATAGCAGCTAGTATGAGGCTGTATTTTGGATTTGTGCTGAGAAGAAGGTTCATTTTTTTTGTTTACTTAAATGCAACTAAAAAAGCAGATGGTGGCTATCTGCACTTGCCCCTCCCCCAGCTGTATCCTTCTGCTATTTTGGTAAAGAGTGATAGGACAGAGCAACCAGATCCAACGATCAGGCAATGGCTTGGGACCCCACAGACTCACGTTTATTTCCTCTTCCATAAAATGAAGAGGGCAACACACTCTTATCTCAGGAGTGTAGCCAGTGAGGAATGTTACAGCCACAGGGGCCAAATAAATGCGTAGAATGGATTAGTACTGAAAAATGAAGTAAATACCCCCATGCAGATTTTTGTTAAAAAAACACCATTCCTGAGGTGCTTCTGTGTTGAGTAAACATAGCTAAGATGCACCTCTGACCTTTGCAGAATGCTGACTCACTAATGAACAGAGTGGAGGTGTTGGCTGTGATACTGGAGGAGACCAGCTGCCTTGCCTTGGAGGGACAAGCAAGGTCAGTGCATTCACAGAAGATTTCCAGGAAAAACAGAATGGAAGGCTAAAAACAAAATAAAGCACACAACCCTCTGGCCCCCAACCGTCACTTCAAAGGGAAGCGTCTCCTCCACTTCTCTTCATGTCCCAAAACACAGATGATCTGTGCATAAGGAACAGAGAGAAGGAGAAACTTTCCTCAAATATTGTTTTTCTGGTTTGTGCTACTTTTTAATTACATGAATATTTTAGAGAACAAAACTGTCTATTTCAGTCCTTGGTCTGGAAAAAAAAAATCACACCAAAACCCCAACCAATCCTATCCCTCCAAGGGCAAGTGGGAGATTATAGCATGAGGAGCTGCTGGTGTAGCACCACAGCAGCTTAAGGCTGTCATTGATATGGGCTGCTGTGATCCTGACTGTCTCTGACAGCTTTTTCTGGTAAAAAAAAAAAAAAAGCTTTTCCTTGGATCAGCTCACTCTAGTCCTCCAACAGTTTCAGAGTGCAGTTTGACTGCACAGTGCAGTGTAAATCAAAGCTACAGCAGTTCTACTCCCAAAACTGATGGAAAGACTTGTTTGTGAGGATAAGCAAGAGCTCAGCTTAGCCCTGGACTTTCAGGCACATGGAAGAGACACGTTATTACCTCTGTGCAGTACCTGGGAACAGCACTCATGCAGAAGCATTTCCCTTGGACAGAGCTCAGGATCAAACAATCTGTCACTGCTTCAGGATCTCCCCTTCTTCCTCATGGTCTGCCAATCCCAGCTCACTGGAATGAAACAAACAGATTGGTTACATCAGCTGATCGGACTGACAGACAGTGTGACCTTTCAAAACACATATGCCAGCTGATGTCAACAGTCAGTCATCACATATACCACTAGTTGTCGGGTCTGGCACAGAGAAAAGTTTTTTCTATGAATCAGAAACAGCACATCTAGTAATGCCCTTGAATCTTCTGACAGCAATGGAGACCTCCTGGAAAGGGGTCAGCACACTCTGGAAATGAAGCCAAGATTTTCTTTACAAGAAGCTGCCAGATGGGCTGTTTATTCAAAACCTAAAACAGAAAAGTTAATTACAGCTGGCATCCTTCCCTCCCTCTTGCTGAGGAGCAGGTATTTCCCCAACAGGTTTATCTAGCGGTGCTCTGACACCAACACTGACAAGCTGCGCTGCGTCAAACCTTGACCAGGAAATGTGTTTTAAGAGGGCCACGTAACCCAGTGTGCAGAGCAAGTCACAGGCCCTCCAAACCCAAATCCTGTTTCCCACCCTCTGCCATTACCTCATTATGTGCAGTGAGCAACCAGGACAAACATACTTTCAGGAGGAAAACAGATTTTCCTCTGGGCCACACTTGACTGGCTGCCCCGCTCAGCTGGTTTTGGGGGTGCAGGAGAGGGGCTCCTCTTCCTCCCAGTCTCGTTGCTTTCCCCTTTTCCTGCAGGCAGAGACAGGCGTTATTTCAGCAAGAAACGAGAGCAACACGGGGCACCCCCACAGGCCTGGTGCAACCCAGGCCCCCCAGCGC